ACCCCCCCCCTGCACTGAAAGGGGCGCGCGGGACAGCCGCGGGACAGCCGAAGCAGAGCGGACCCGTGGGCGGCATCGCCGCGGAACGCCCGCGCCACAGCCGCAGCATAGAACGGCCGAGGGCGGCTGCGCAGCGGCAGCACTGCTGCAGCACCGCGACGGGGCAGCAGCACGGCGAAGCGGGGATGCCCCTCCCCCGAGGGGGATGCCGTATGAAAGGAGGGGATTTGGGAATCCCACACCCCCTCCTTTCGCCCGGCACTCGCCCAAAGGGCAGCGTGTGTTGAGCTCGTGATTGTCGGATCTGGGACCGCGCCCCCTGATCCAGTCCATGGCGCACCTTGTCCTGTGCAAGATCTTCGGCACCGCCTGTTTTCTGAGCCCTCCTGCTGCCTGAGGCCCCGCCCGCCCGCGCCCTGTCTCCCTAATTAGGGCTACCCGCGCCCCGTTTAGCTCTTGACCGGAAGGGGCCCGCTCCCGCCCCGCCGACCAAAAAAAAGTTGAGCTCGTGGCCAGGCTGGACTGCAGCCCCTCGGCGCTTGGGGAAGAGCCCGTGCGTCGTCGACACGCGCAGCCGTCCTCGCCACATGTGCCCTTTCCGCTGGCGGGCGGAAGCGCGGCATGCAATCAACGCTTTGCCGTAGGGGCGCCTTGGATCAGGAACGGAGCCCCTCTGGGGCCTCAACTGCACAGTAGCGATCGGAGAACAACACAACAAGTAGAGCCCTACTGAATATCAAGCCCCTTCCGAAACTGAAGTGGACTTGATCAAACATTTGTTCAATGTATGGGGCGTTGGAGTGCAGGAGCACGTCCCTTCTAAGGAACCTCCTGCCTTCTTCCAGTGCTGCCTTCCCGCCTTGCGCCCTGCTGCGCGGCAACGGGTTGAGCCCCCTCGAATTGCTTTGCATTCTGCCCGCCTCCGCCCACGACTACTCCTCCCTTGCGCCCTCGCGGGGCGCCGCCGTCTGCCTACATACCCTTGCCTCGTCCGCGTCCTGCTGGCAGGAGTGGCGGATCCCAGACGTCCTGAGTCACGCCAAAAGCGAGAGACGGTATGCTGTTTGAAATCTCTGGCCACAGACCTTCAAAAACCAGCCAGGGCGGAAAAGCCTTCCCCGGGATAGGGGTCGAGAGGTCCGTGGACCGCGTCCCGACAGATCGTGACGTCGGATGCCTGGGATGGGAGAAGGCGCATCGACTTACACAGGAATGCTCGCCTGTCCGCGCAGGAGTTCTTGGGCCCACGCTGGACCCCCTTTGGCGGCAGCTCCGGCGCTGCCCCCGTGGCCCGCCTCGCCGCGCGGAGGCCCCCAAAAACTCCCCGAACCATGCCTGCTTGCACGGGGGGTCGCATTTCCCGGGAAGAGGGGGGCGTCCAAGAGAGGGGGGGCGCAACTCATGGCCGGCGGCACGTGCGCGGCCCAGGGGGAGGGGGCCGGGGACGCAGCGAGATAAGAAGAGAGGCGCGGCGAACTCTGAGGAGATGTCATGGCCCCCGCCATGGTGTGCCCCCCCCCCTGGTCGTCACCCCGCTGGCGGCCGCCCCCGACAATGCTGGCACTGGGGGTCGCATTTGGCTGCAGCAATCATCGGCTGGCATCTCTGTGGGCTCTGCCCGGCGGCGGCCCGTGGCCGCCCTTCTGCGCTGGCCCGCGTCTCGGCGAGCACGCGCCAGCTTCTGGCGAGTGGGCTGCACCATCCGACCAGCCACAACTGGGGGAGCTGTGGTCCCCCTTACCCCTGGGGGAACCCCAGGGGTGTCGAAATCGATGGGTCTCACAGGGGGGGTAAGCACCACAGCTCCCCCTTCTGTGGCCGGCCTGACCATACATCAGACACGTTGCGACACAGAGGTGGCCAGCTTTCCCAGCTCTAATGACACTCGAATCCAAAGCCGAGACCAGACTACTGCACGGACACTTTACTTTTCGTATGGCCGGTCGTCTTCGTCATTATCACCACCGCCGTCATCGCCGTTGTCGTCGCCGTCGTCATCACCGCCACCGCCATCGCCATCGCCATCGCCATCGGCATCATCATCACCATCACCACCACCACAATCATCATCATCAGCATCATCATCATCATAATCCTCATCATCATCAGCATGATCAGCATCATCAGCATCATCAGCATCATCAGCATCAACATGTATCATTATCATCGTCATCGTCATCATCATCACCACCACCATCATCATCATCATCATCAGTATCATCATTATCGTCCTCAGCAGCAGCATCATAATCATCATCACCACCACCATCATCAGCATCATCAGCATCATCAGCATCAATCTTATCACCATCAACATCAGCAGCATTATCAGCAGCATCAGCGTCAGCATCATCATCATCATCAGCATCATCATAATTATCACCATCATCATCAGCATCATCATTATCGACGTTGTCGTTGTCGCCGATATCGTCGTCACCAGGATCTGTAGCCCGCCCGAGCCATGGATCTGCATGAGGAGGGTATGCGCGTCCATGTGCTACTTTACATTCGCGGGCGAGCTCAGAGGGGTAACTGTACTAACGCCCAACATGAGCTTTGCCAACAAGTTGCGGGTGGGTGGGTGTGATGCTCGCCCAAGCATGTAGGAGGTGGTCGCGCGCGGATGCGCACAATTGAGCCTGGGTCCTGGGAAAAATGAGGCTACTCCCCAACACCAATGCTGGGGTTATCGGCCCCCTCCGAGTATTGCGATCCCGCGCTTATTCTACAAAGTCGTTCATCCTGTACAAGCCCAGCCAGGCCGACATCGGCTCATCACCTCTGCCATCTCCTGCAACAGAAACTACAAGCTGTGTGCATGCGTTGGTCGAAGACGTGCGTTTCGTAACGATCATGCAGAAAATGCTACTATGCCGGGCACATGCGAGAGTCCCCGCACGCGCATGCCTAAATGATTGATTAGAGAACGCATTCAAGACTCAGCTACGCTTAACATATCAAGGACCTCTGCCTACGTTGCCAGATGTGTGCGCCCTCGTTCGCTGAAGCCACAAGAGAAACATAATGTCGTTGTGCATTCTGCCAGATGAGACCAGGCTGGCCACACGCGCGCAAACGTCGAACACATTACACAGCCATCGCGCACCCAGCACCTCTGTCAAATAATGCAGTGTGGACTACACGCGCGCGTAATCGCGAGCGCACGCCGAAATCATTGCGAAAGCACTGATTATTTAAGCATTTCAACACAGCTGTGTTCAAGCACATTTGAAGCTAATTGAAGCTTCCACGACATGTTTCTAAAAACTAGAGTCCGGAGCGCGGGCTCTGCCTCACCAACCTCACCAGCACCAGCGTCGGAATCACCATTCCCGCCGTCAACGTGAAGCTTACCACCATGCGCGTATCATCATCACCGTCGTCGGCACCATCGTCCCCACCATCATTGTCAACATCATCCTGGTGGTCGTCATCGTCTGTGTCGTCGTCCTCGTCATCAACACTACCACCATCATCCGAATGCGAAACATGATCGCGTCGCTACGCCAGACGAGCCTTGCCAACAGATCCTGGGCGGGTGCGTGGGTCGGTGGCTCGATCCTCGGAGCTAGCGGCTGCAACTCACACACTTGAAGTGCAGCGCACGCACTGCATCCCGCAGTTCGCAGGGCAGAGCTTGCACCATTTAGGTTGCACCATCCCAGATGTCGTGCTACGCAGATTGCAGCACATACGCTGCATCCCAAACATACTGCGCCACAAAGACTGACCCTCACACATATCACGCCAGATGCAAACGTATATGTCCATGCACCGACATACAAATATGTGTACATATGTGTCTATATAAGTGCACATCCATGATTGTGTATTGAAACTCATGGGTTGCACCACATATTATGGCCCTGCAGAGATTGCACCAAACGGACCTGTTTCTATATACAGGGATTTCATCTACCCACGCATAGTATAACGCATGAGTTACACCACATGGAGCATATCGATAACGCAACCGACCCCCCCCCCCACACACACACACACACACACACACACACACACACACACACACACACACACACACACACACACACACACACACACACACACACACACACACACACACACACACACACACACACACACACACACACACACACACACACACGCACACACGCACACATATACACACACACACTGTTCGGGGCCCATGTCGGCAAATATGCATGTTTAGTGGAGACGTGTCCTCTCCGAGGGGATGGACAGGGAGAAGCGGACCAGCCCTGCGGACGAGAAGGCCAGCGGACCCCCCCGGCTCCCCCCTTTCACGCGATCCCCCCGCCAGCTGCATCGTCTTGGCGGGAAGGCAGGCGGTGGCGATTCGGCTACACGCAAGAGTGACCCTGGGCAAGAGTGACCTTGGTTGAACAGGGACTCACCGTCCCGGCATACCTATAGTCATAACACGAAATGTTCTTAGAACCCAAGAATATTCTGAGAACAAAAACAAGGTTCTTAGAACATAAACCCGATGTGTTAAAACAAGACAGTCCCAGCCAGAAATGTTCTAAGAACATTTCGTGGGAACCATAAAAGGTTCTTAGAACACTGTTTGGTGAGGCTATAGGCGAGCCAGGACGCTTCGCCGCTGCTTGACCTTGGGTGCGCGGCTTTTCGGGGGCCGCGGGAGGGCCAACGCACAAGCGCGGAAGACGCTGCCACCGCTTCGCGACCCGCGATCGGGGGAGGCCCTAGTGGGCCCGCACCAGAAGGGTCACTCCGGCGAACGGTCACTCTTACAGCCAAAAACCCTAATAAGGACGCGCGGTAAGGACGCAAGACCCTTGGAAGCCGAAGTTGGGATTTCTGGGGCGGCGGACGACGAAAACCTCAAGGACGCAAGAGCAAGGAAGAGCAAGGACGCAAGGGTACCCTGAGCAAAGTCGCGCGTCCTTAGTAGGGTTTTTGACTGTACGTGTAGTCGACTGATTCCTGCCTCTCCCGCCCCCTTCTGCGAGAGGCGCTTTCTCGCCGAACCTTCAGCGACCCACCGCGACGCTGTGCTGCCGCACCGCGGGCGCGACGGCCGCCCGGCCGTCGTCGTCCTCGTCCTCCTCGGGCCCGAGGACCCGGAGGAGGCCGTGACCTCTGGACGGAGCGTCGCCGTCCCCGTCCTGGCGCCCAAAGGGGTCGGGCTCGCCCGACATGGCCGCCATCGCTCTCACGACGCTCGCCCCGGCCGAGCCCTGGGAGAAGGACATGAGGCCCAGGCCCAACGAGTCCGACGGGCCAATGTCCAGACCCCCGTCCGTCTCCCGGCTCATCCTCTCGCCCAGCTGCGCGAGAGCATAATGCGACATGGAATAGGACCGCTCGATCTCCAGGGTGGTGAACCGGTGCGCGGCTTCCATCAACGTGTAAAGGGACCGATCGGACAGCATCGTGGACGCGCGCACCCGAAAGTGCCGCAGCCCTGGGAGGTGCTCCAGGACCTCCGCCATGACGCGGTCTGTCCAGTACTCGCTGCGGTCCAGCAGCAAGGTGTGGAGCTCCGGGCAGCTCTGCGCGATGCAGGCGACCCCGGCGTCGTCGAAGGCCGTCCAGTTCAGCGACAAGGAGCGCAGGGACGGGTGCAGCTGCCACTCTTTGGGCAGCGGCCCAACACGGTTGCGGAGCACGCCACGGAGGAACGGCCGCAGCGCGGCCTCGTGCTCCACGCGCAGAGCGAACTCCTCGAGCTCATCGCCCAGCTTCGACAGCAGCGTGCTCAGCGCCTGGTCCGGGTCCTCGATGCACCTCTTGCCGCCCCAGAGGCTTACCCTCCGCCAGCGCAGCGACGCGTCCGCCAGCTCGGCAACGCAGAAGAGCGCGTCGTCGGAGAGGAAGCCGAACGTGACGTGCTGCAGGGCCGCGAGTCCGGCCATGTCCGCGAGCAGCGGCTGCGTGCCAGGGACAGCCGCGCGGGGAGGCTGCAGGGGCGACATGCGGCCCGCGATGCCGCGCCCGGGGCCGCTCGCGGCGGCGCCGATCTCGACGAACTCGAGCCGTGGCGCGGAGTCGAGGATCGGCCCCAAGGCCAGCGCGGCGCCCTCGTGCACGAAGACGGAGCCCTGCAGGTCTGGCGCCCACGAAAGGCGCAGCCCCGAGAGGCATCCGCGGGCAGCCAGCGACGCCCCGCACAGCGCCTGAAGCAGGGCCTCGACTGCAAGCTCTTGGGATGCGCGGTCCTGTAGATGACGAGCCAACAACACACACACACACCCATACCCATAGGGGGGTCGGAAAGGGCTATGGGTGCGTGTTGTCGGATGGGGGTCCCCGCTCGAACGGGAGCGTTCCCTAGGGTCAGTCAACCCGCACCCATACCCATAGCCAGTCCTCCTCCCAACGACCCCCGTATGGGTATGGGTGTGTGTTGTTCGCTCGTCATGTAGAAGAGCAAGGGACGGCATAAGCATCCGCGCTCGCAGGTCCGCGAGGACTTCCTGGGCCATCGGAGCTGGACCCCCCAGCAGGCGGCGCCTCTGGCGCCGGAGCGCGCCAGGGAGGGGGAGCCCAGCGCCGATCCAAGCCCTCCGCGCGAACCTCCGAAGCCCGTGGTAATTACCTGTGCCGTTCCGCTCGTCGTCGATCCTGGTCCCGCTGCTGACACGGGCGGAGCCCCTCGACCGAGATCCGCTGCAGCCTCGGCGACGCCACGCACTCCAGGATCTCCGTGCCGACGCCCACGGCCTCCTCGTCCCAGAGCCGCAGCTCCAGCCTCCGCAGCTGCCCCAGCGCGACCCCCGCGGGCAGGTAGGGGGCCACATGCGAACCCTGCCCCTACCCCCCACGATTTCTGAGGGGGTAGGGTGGGGTTCACTTCGCTCGGGAGCTCCCGAACGAAGTGGACCCCACCCTGCCCCTCAGAAATCGTGGGGGGTAGGGGCAGGGTTCGCATGTGGCCCCCTGGCAGGGCCACCGCCAGGCGCGGGTCCTCGAAGGCGAGGTCCAGGGACAGCGCCTGCAGCTGGCCGCAGGTCGGCACCAGCAGCGAGAAGAGCCCCTCGAGCCAGCGCTCGGCCCTCGAGGCCCGGAAGCGCAGCGAGGGCCAGCAGGCCGCGTCGCGCGTGGCGGCGCGCGCGGCGCGGCAGACGGCGCTGCACTCCCGCAGCACCCACGGGGCCTCCCCGAACGCGAGCGCGAGGCCGACCACGCTGGTCGGGAGCCGCCGGCCCGAGGCCACGAGCGGCCCCGAGCTGCTCTGGCTCCCGGCCTCGGGGCCCGGCGGCCGCCACACGTTCAGGAAGCGCTGCAGGGCCTTTTCACCAGCCTCGAACGCATCCCTATCCCTAAGAACAAGCCCAAAGTCGACGACAATCTTAGGGATGCGCCGTCAGAAACGGAGGGAATCCCTACGATCGGCATCGAGATGAGGCGATGCCAATCATAGGGATAGGGATATGTTCCAGGCTGGTGACCTTTGTGCGCGGCGTGGGCTCCAGGGCCAGGACCCCCTCGAGGTACGCCTCCAGGGCGGCCGCGCGCTCGTCCAGGAATGCGGGGTCGGTGCAGGCGAAGAAGGTGGAGGGCGGCAGAGCGGGCGCCTGACCGCGGTACTTCTGCGCCATGGCCTCAGCGGGGCTGCGCGACCCCAGGGTGGCCCGGCCCCCGGCCCTCACCGTCTCCTCCTCCTCCTCCTCCTCCTCCTCCTCCTCCTCCTCCTCCTCCTCCTCCTCCTCCTCCTCCTCCTCCTCCTCCTCCCCCTCATGTTCCTCCTCCTCATCCTCCTCCTCCTCCTCCTCATGTTCCTCCTCCTCCTCCTCCTCCTCCTCCTCCTCCTCCTCCTCCTCCCTCCTCTCCTCCTCCTCCTCCTCCTCCCTCCTCCTCCCTCCTCCTCCTCCTCTTCCTCCTCCTCCTCCTCCTCGTTCTCCTCATGTGTTTCCTCTTCCTCCTCCTCCTCCTCCTCCTCATCCTCCTCCCCTCCTCCTCCTGAGAACCCGTGGGGCCCCCTGCGGGGTCCCGAGGAATCCTGAGGAATACTCTTGAGGAACCCTGGGGGCTAGGGGGTCATCTCTGCTACTCCGGGCGGCCGACGCTTCCCAGGCGGCTCGCGACAGCCCGCGGCTCTCTCCAATCCAGCCCACCGCGGCTATCGACTTGGTTCTTGGGGGCACAAGCATTTCATGATAGCATCGAAATTCACACAGCCCTGCATACATCGGAACGCTAGGCATCGAATGATTCCCATGAACATCGGGGCGTACTTCACACAATCGTCAAACTTTGCTGCTCCCCCCTCCAGCCTCTCGAGTTGTCGGAGGCTGGCAGTTGCACAGAAGGATACAAGACGATCAACATACCTTGTGCTAGCGGTGCCGTGGTTTCCGCAGCATGCGAGCAGACGGTGTCCACCATCGATATCCGATTAACCCCACCGTGGAACTGTTACGTGACCCATGGAATGCTATCCCTCGGAAACCACAGCATGCGAATGCGGCAACAGGCAGAACCTTTCAGTACAAATTCTCGTGAACGGCATCGGGCGCTAAGGGCACGGCATTGTCCAGCTCCTTCGGAGCGCGCTGAATCCGCCAGCACCAGTGGGGCTGCCAGGCCACCGAGACATCCCACCAGCCCACTCGGCAGTATCGGCTTAGCGTGCTAGGTCTTCAATCCCCAGTCGGTGAGGGCGCTGGCCCTCCCATGGAGCCTGCGAGCACCCGTCGCCAGGGACTCGGGCGTCCAAGAGGGCCCAAGATGGCACCAGGCGGATCAGAACATTGCGTGCAGCATGGCGCCAGATGGCTTCCAACCTGGCTCCAGGAGGAGGAGGAGGAGGAAGAGGCGTAGCAGCAGGAGGAGGAGGAGGAGGAGGAGGAGGAGGAGGAGGGAGGAGGGGCAGGAGGAGGAGGGGGGGGAGGAGGGAGGAGGAGGAGGAGGAGGAGGAGGAGGAGAGGAGGAGAGAGGAGGAGGAGGAGGAGGAGGAGGGAGGAGGAGGAGGAGGAGGAGGAGGAGGAGAGGAGGAGAAGGAGGAGGAGAAGGGGGAGGAGGAGAAGGAGGAGGAGGAGGAGGAGGAGGAGTCCTTAGAGGTGGCTCCCGAGCCTGCCGCCCCCTGAGAGAAGCCAATCGTGCTTCGGTGATGCTCATCTTGCCGCCCTCTCAGACTCAGAAGGCCCGGAGGGACACAGCTTTGGACTCGAACAGGGCTGCTGTAGACTGAGACCGTGCTCGTCTGTCGATCGTCTCCAGGATGCCCCCCCGCAATGCCTCCAGTAAGGACACAGAAAAGCCCCAAGAGGGCTCCGAAGGCTCAGAAGCGCCCCACGAGACTCCCGGTATGGCTCCAATGCGATCCCCCGATGCTACCAGAGAGCCCCAAGCTGGGATGGTTCATTGCAGGGGTGAGGGGGCGCCTTGGCTGACCCCGTGTGTAGGTCTGGCCTGCGACTTCTCTCGTTGCTCCACGAGTGCTCCTCCACCACCGCCTCCCACTTCTCGCGGCAATCCTCCGGGAACCGTTCCTGAGTGGGCTGGCCAGGAATGCGGAGCGTCAGCGCTGTGTGCGGCTGTTGTGTTCATCATGCCGGGTGCAAGGAACGAGCGTCGGCACAACCCCGTGAGCTCTGGACAACAAGGCTGCCCAACCAGCAGCGCCGCGGCCGCGCCGAGGAGGTCTTCAAAAGTGCTGCCAGGAGGGGGCGGCAGGGGCGATAAGCCGTGATAGATATACGAACAAAATGCGAGACCGCGCAACGCTTCAGCCGTCGACCTGAACCTGGGGGGGCTGGGTAGATGCTGGAAGATGCCGCGACTAGGCCGCTCTCTCTCTCTCTCTCTTTCTCGCTGTCGCTCGCTCTATATCTCTCTCTATATATATATATATGTATATCTCTCTCTCTCTCTCGTTCTCGCTCGCTCTCACGGTGTGTATCTATACCTAGCTTTACACCGGTAACGTTCGCGCGCTCTCCGCACGCGCTCCGCTTCCGGGTGGCCCTGCGCCACGGAAGGAAGCGCAGAAGCTGGAACAGAAGCGGGAAGCTCTCTAGGAGCGCTCACGGGCTCGTGTCGACAGTGCCGTCATACCTTTTAGCTGTTCTGCGCGAAAGTGCGCGTCAGATATATCGTCGCCATGAGCGCTCCCCCTGTCACCGAGCCCCGATATGGGGCTAAGGTCGTATGCAGCGTGCAGTCCATACTGCCACTTGTCCCCCTCCTCTCTTGACCGCCCGTCACTCCTCCCCGCGCTCATTCGTCGTCGTCCTTATGAGGGTGATTTGTGAAAGTCTGCTGGGACTTCTTCGGACATATGCGGGGCCACTGGGAACCTCTTGTACGCGTATACCAAAAACGGCAACCCAACAAAGAACAAACACGACACCAGCCGGGCCCAAAACGAGCGGAAAACAGCAACCCACAAGAGCAGAAAAAAGCACACAACTGAAAACAATTGACTGAAACGGACAACACAAACAAAGCGGCAATAAACACAATTAGAAAACGCATCGCAAAACGAACCGAAAACGGCGAGACGGCAATCCCAACACGGAGAAGAAACGACCCCCCAAAGAGAAAAGCAACGTCGATCTTGAAAATGGAAACAAACAACGCCCCCAGCATTTTTAAGAACATCTCAGGGTGCCTTGGGAGCCTCTGGTGGGGGCCCTGGAGGCCTCTTGGGGGTCTCTTAGGGGCGTCTTGGGAGCCTCTTGGGGCATCTTGGGGGCCTCTTGGGGGCGTCTTGGACGCCTCTTGGGGGCCTTGGGGGCTCGTGAAGGCCTCTTGCGACTTTTGGGGGCCTCTTGATCACATATTTGGGGCGTCTTGGGGGCCTTTGGGGGGCCTCTCGAGGCCAAGTGAGCGCCTCCTGCGGCTTCGTGGGATCTCTTGAGAGCGTCTTGAGAGTCTCTTGAGGGCTTCTTGGGGCCCACCCAGAAACCTCGGAAGCGCAACTTTGGCGAAAAAGCGAGGAAGGCAACATATGTACATAGGTGCTTGAAGGATTTTAACTTCTCGGGCTCCTTCCCAGAGGCGCCCTGAAAACCCCTTGAGCACTCTCCTTCGGGCTCTCTCAGGCCGTGCCCGAACGTTTTTTTGCCGTCTCGGAGGGGCCCAAGATCCTCCCCACTGGCAGGGGGAGCTTGAGTCTGCCATTCAGGCCCCCAGCCCTGGACCCCGTATATACACATACATTCCCCAATCAGCGCTTGCACTGAATGGGCCTGAGCGGAAGTTGAAAGATTTGGCGACAGTTTCCCGCCGATTTTGGTAGCAGGCTGGGTTCCCGGATTCCCGGCTTCCCGGTTATTGGTTCCGGGCCGATTTCGGTGGGTTCTGGGCTCCCAGGCTCCCAGGTTCCCGGTCGATCCCCTCAGCGAACACCATCCACTGATTGGGGCTTTCCCTTCTGTAATTGAAAGATGTGGCGAAAGTTCCCGCCGATTTTGGTATCAAGCTGGGTTCTCGGGTTCCTGGTTCCGGGTTCCCGGCTTCCCAGTTATTGGTTCCAGGCCGATTTCGGTGGGTTATATGGGTTCCCGGGCTCCCAAGTTCCCGGTCGATCTCCTCAGCGAAACCATCCACTGATTGTGGTTTTCTCTTGTGTACATATATATATGTATATATGGACAGCCCCCTCCTCAGCCCATCCCCATCCCCGGCACCCCACCCTCTTCCGATGAGGCACAGAGGCAAAGAGAGAGAGAGAGAGTGAGACGGCGAAGAAAAAGAGGTTCGAAGCAACATCGATCCCAGTGAAATCACCTGGTTTGCGAAGTAAGGGGACGCCACACCCTATGATTTCACTAGGATGGTCGCGATTTCTGAAATGCGAAACCCAGAAAACTAATGACATCATCAAGTCGTTGTTGATTGTTTGGGATTTCTGGAGTTCATGGCTCTGGAAGGCTGCAGCGTGGATTCCACTGGGCGGCAGAAAAATCGAACCTCCCCCCCAAAATAAAAGCACATAGCTTCTGACAGTCTCCTACCAGCAATCTCTGAAACCCAAACCAAATCACAGGGTGTTGTGCCCCGTTGCTTCGCAAGCCTTGCAATGTCACAGGGGTCGCTGCTCCTTCTGGTTTCTCTCTCTCTCTATTTCTCTCCTTCTCTCTCCTTCTTTTTTTCTCTCTCTCTCTCTCTATCTATATGTCTCTCTCCCTCTGCCCCTCTGTCTCGTCGGACGAGGGAGCGGAGGAGGTGGAGCGTAGCTCGGGTGAAGAGGAAGAGGAGGAGGAGGACGAGGAGGAGGAGGAGGAGGAGGGGGAGGAGGGAGGGAGGAGGAGGAGGAGGAGGAGGGAGGGAGGAGGAGGTGGAGAAGGAGGAGGAGGAGGAGGGGAAGGAGGGGGAGGGAGAGGAAGACAAGCTAGGTGCGCCCGTGTCATATCTGACGTCCGACCCCTCCCTCCCATCCCTTACCATGGCGTAGATCTCCTCTCTATTCGCGCACTCGGATGTCGAGCAAGGCAATGATCGCGAGAGGGTGCGCGATGCATCGTAGAGCCCGGCATGGCATTGTGTAGAAGAGCACGGCACAGCGCATTTAGAATGTCAAGGCATGGCGTAGCATTGCGCAGTGAAGCATTGCATTACAAAGCATTACAACGCAAAGCATGGCATCGCACGGCATGTCATGGCAGGGCGCTGGGTTCCTTGGAGGGAGAATGGATCGTCTTCGAAGAGTCCAGGCAGGTCTGGACTTGCGGCTCCATGTTTACTTCCCTGGGCTCCCCGAAAAGATCCCCACAAGGCGGGGCTGATGGAGAGCACCCGCTTGATACGTACTCCAAACGACGCCGCCCCAAAGTGGGGGGGGCCTTCAGTGGCCCAACAACTCAACGAATCGACACTGGATGTGGAATCACTTGCGATGGTTTTCTGGAAATCATTTTTTGAAATTTGGGCGGGTAGGGGATTCAAACCGCCGGAGCCAAAACCCTTGCAAATGCTGGCGCAGTGAAAACGTCACCCCTGCGAGTCCCCGTGGCCTCATCGTCGTCGTCGTCGTCGTCGTCGTCGTCGTCGTCGTCGTCGTCGTTGTCGTCATCGTCGTTCACCTGATTCGTATGGCATTCTCAAGCACGTGCCAATGTTTCGCCCCAGACGGGCGCGTCAGGACTCGAATGGTCATGGCAGCGGCATGCGAGCACAACGAGTGCACCAATGACAGGATACCCCGCCTCCCCCTCCTCCTTTTTCCTCATGTTCCTCATCCTCCGTCGCCTCCTCCTCCCCCTCCTCCCCCCGTGCGCCAGTGACACAATACTCCGCATCCTCCGGCGCCTCCTCCTCATCATCCTCCGCACCTCCTCGCCCTCCGCCTCCTCCTCCTCCTCTTCCTTTTCCTCATGTTCCTCGTCCTCCTCCGCCTCCTCCTCCCCCTCCTCGCCAACACCGGCGACAGAGACATAGTACTCCGCATCCTCCGTCGCCTCCTACGCGTCATCCTCCGCATCTCCTCGCCCTCCGCCGCCTCCACCTCATCCCCCTCCCCCTCCCCCTCCCCCTCCTCCTCCTCCACCTCCTCCTCCTCCTCCTCCTCCTCCTCCTCCTCCTCCTCCTCCTCCTCCTCCTCCTCCTCCTCCCTCCCCCTCCTGTTCCTCCTCCTCCTCCTCCTCCTCCTCCTCGTTCTCCTCATGTGTTTCCTCTTCCTCCTCCTCCTCCTCCTCCTCCTCCTCCTCCTCCTGAGGACCCGTGGGGTCCCCTGCGGGGTCCCGAGGAATCCTGAGGAACCCTGGGGGCTGGGAGGTCACGAGGACCCCCCCCCCCCCCCCTGCAGGACCCTGGGAACCCTGAGGAACCCGATTGACTTTGGGACATTCCTGAGGAACCTGCAGGAATACACAGGATCCTTAAGGAATCCGACGGCATTCAAGTGAACCCTGCTGCTGACCCCCGAGGAAACGAAAGGAACCTCAAGGGATCCCGATGAATCCAATGGGGTCCACAGGAATCCTGAAGAGACTTGAGGACCCCTGAAAAGTACTGAGACCCTGTCGACTCCTGCAGACTCCTAAGCCCTGGGCCCTGTGTCTTAAGATCTGGGCCCTGACCCCTTGGGCCCCACGCCCTGATTCCAGGGCCCTGGGCCCTGAACCCCGGGCTCTCCGCCCTGATCCCTGAGCTCAGAACCTTCGGCCTTGAGCTCAGAGGCCAGGGCCCTGTGCCCTAGGCTCTGAGCCCCCAGCCCTGAGGCGAGGTCCCTGTGCCCTGAGCCTGGTTCCTGGTCTCTGAGCCCTGAGCTCTGAAGCCGAGGCCCTGAGCCCTGTGTCCTCAGCCCTGAGGCCTGAGGCCTGTGTCTTCAGGCCCTCAGGCCTGTGTCCTGGGCCCTGAAGCCTGTGTCCTCAGGCCCTGGGCCACGAGCCCTGAGCCTTGAGCCCTGGGCCTTGAGCCTGAAGTCCTGAGCCCTGGGCCCTGAGCCCCTGGGCCGCGAACCCAAGGCCCTGAGCCCAAGGCCTTGGGCCCTGAGCCCTGAACCCTACGCCCAGAGCCCTGGGCCCCGAGCCCTGGGAATCCAAAGTAACCCAAAGGAATCCCAAGGAATGCAGAGGAACCAAAAGGACCCCGAAGGAATGCACCGCAGGGCGCCCCACGCGGGGGCCGAAGGCCCCTGCGGGGGGCTTTCCTTTAAAAACAACCTACACGCAGAACGTCCGGCGTCTTGAACCCCGTACTCGGCAAACTTTGGGGCCTAGTTGGAAGGACTTTGGGGAGCACGTTGGAACAACCAGAGGAACAGAAATGGGCATAGCGCTGCAGCGGGAGCAAAATTTTGAAGGACCGAGAAGAATCGGATTGTCAGAGCACGTACGGAGACCAGGAAATCAGGTCAACGCTGCAGCGGGAGCACGATTCGGAACGAACGGAAGCGCGGAAATGAAGCCAGCGCTGCAGCGGGGGCACGATTCGGAACCAGTGGAAGCCCGAAAATGAGGTCATCGCTTCAGCGGGAACAACATGTTGAAACACAACCGAATCGAAAACCCAATTCCCGGGAATCCTGTGCAAAAAACTATACGCGGAGGGGGCCCGGAAATCTTCCAGGCGTCATCAGGAGAGAGGAGAAAGAGGAGGGGGATGAGGAAATAGAGGAGGAGGAAGAGGAGGAGGAGGAGGAGGAGGAGGAGACGAACACAAAGAAACGAGGAAGGGCAGGGACAGCAACAGCAGGAGGGTCCCAGTAGCAGGAAGAGGAGGGGCATAAGTAACAGGAAGAGGAAGATAAGAAGGAGGAGGACGCATAACAGGAGGAACAGGAGGAGGAGGAGGAGGAGAAGGAAACGACCGGAGAGGAAGAGAAGATAATAACACCGAAAACAGACAAGAGGAAGATCAGTCGGTCCTCGGGGCGGGGGCTGAGCATGTCTTACTATACACATTCATTGTTTACGTATAGGTAACAGCCGCTGGCCTTGCTCTTCAAGGGCAAATCTATGTATACGAAAGTCCCGAACCCGGGGCCGGGATCACGGATTCGGCTGCGTCCACTGCCCCATCCTACTCCTTCTGCAATCACCCGGCCAGCCGAATAGTAATGCGGGTGCAAGAACCTTGAACCCCCGATGCCCTCAGGGGCTGGCGAAAATGCGGCGAAATAAGAGGCAACCAGTCAATGATGAAACGCCGGTGGTTGCATCCTGCATCCTCACTCGGGTGGTTTTGCCTATACTCCTCATCATGCCCCCGCGTCCCCGTGCGGCTGCTGAAAAATGAGCGGTCTACTTCGTGGGGCGGGATAGCCCCCCCCCGACAACCGCGGCCTATTTTCGGGGAACGACTCCAACCCTTAGGGCCCCCCCTTTTCAGGTGCTGCCCCCCGCATCCGTGACGAGCCTCGTCCCCTTCGGTCCCCGACCGACCCCGCCCATTCTGCGCCCGAATCCCCCCCCTGGTGGGCGGGTAGGGGCAAGATCTTCATCAAGGCCCTCGGCGATATGCACTCGTCGGGGGCGCAAGAGTCGGGTCGGGCGAAAGGGGGAGATAGCAAAGGGGGGGTTTGAGAATCAGCTCACGTAGCTGATTTTCCCGGCGCCTCCCGGCGCCGGAGGCGGCCATGCATCGAGGAATGGGGCCAGCGGCGAGGCCGAAACCAGCTGCATGCAGCAAATTTCGTACCCCCCCCTTTCCCAATCGCCCTTTTCGCCCGGCCCGAGTTTTGGGGCAGGATCTTCTCAAGGCCCTCGGCGATGTGCACTCATTCGGGGGCGCTAGAGGGGAGGGAAGGCGAGCCGGAGAGCGGGGAGGAGGAGGAGGAGGAGGAGGAGGAGGAGGAGGAGGAGGAGGGAGGAGGAGGAGGAGGAGGAGAGAGGAGAGGAGGAGGAGGAGGAGGAGGAGGAGGAGGAAGGAGGAGGAGGAGGAGGTGGAGCGAAGGAAAAGGAAGCGCACCACCACCAGGAAGGGAGCAGGATCTGCTGAGCTTTTGGGGGGTGGAGCTTCCGAGTGTGCCCCGCAGCAGCGCCCCCCAAAAGCATACGCCGCCGCCGCCATGGAGTGCGCCCGTGCCACCAGTCCAGGTGCAGGTGGTGGCGATCCTCCTCCTGCGCTCCACCCTCCGGCGAGGGTTGGGCATCGACGGTCTCGGCGACCCATTGGGGCCCTCTGGAGTCGTCTCTGTCCTGGGGCGCTCCTCGGGCCCCTCTGGGCTACCCTGGGGCCCTACTGGGGGCTCTCGGACTTGAGGGAAGACAGGGGCGGAGGGGGGGCACATTGACCCTGGAGCGGCCGGGACAAGGGAGGGGCTTGTCGACGCCGGGACTGGGGTGGTCCGGAGAGCAATCACAGTGTCAAAGTCGCGCCAGTCGGACGGCCGCATCGGCGCGTTACTGTGGAGCAGCAGGCGGATGTGCAGCACCCGCACGGTGCCTGAGACACGACGCGCGCGTGAGTTGCTACTCGCTATCCCTCCCGCGCAGGTGCCGGGGCGCGGGCGCCCTCGGCTCCCCGGCCAAGCCAGGCCCTGCAGGCTCAGCCCCAGCCAGGGGCCAGGCAGCCCCAGCCAGCTCCGCCAGGCCCAGCCGCGCCCAGCCAGCAGCTAGGCCCGGCCAATGACAGGTCCCTAATCCTAGCCCACAACGACATGGCCCAGGTCTCCTCCTCCTCCTCCTCCTCCTCCTCCTCCTCCTCCTCCTCCTCCTCGTCTCCTCCCTCCTCCTCCTCCTCCTCCTCCTCCTCCTCCTCCTCCTCCTCCTCCTCCTCCTCCTCCTCCTCCTCCTCCCTCCTCCTCCTCCTCTCCCCCCCCTCTCTCCTCCTCCCCTCCTCATCCTTTTCCTCCTCCTCCTCCTCCTCCTCCTCCTCCTTCTCATCATCATCGTCATCCTCCTCCTCCTGTGCCCCGGACCGAAAGCCTGTGCCCCGAACCGGGAGCACCACTCGCGCCCCGCCAGCCTCAGAGGCGGTCCCGGCTCCTGGAAGCCGCCGAAGGATCTCGCGACGTGCTGCCCTGGCCATTCGCTTGCGTCCGGCGGATAGACAGCGAAGGTGAACAGCCCCTCGCCGTCGACGACCTTGTCGTCGTCGTCGTCGTCGTCGTCGTCGTCGTCGTCGTCGTCGTCGTCGTCGTCGTCGTCGTCGTCGTCGTCGTCGTCGTCGTCGTCGTCTGTGCTGGCGCGAAGGAGCGGGCCCTGGCGTAAGCGGGCCCTGGACTTCGGGGCGATTTGTTTTGCTCTGTTCAACGGCCCTTCGTCCTGGCTGCTGTTGTTCGACGGCCCTGCTGCCCTCGTCAAAATTCACCTCAACAGTTGCTGGCACGTCATTTCGATGTCGGCGCGCCCCTCAATGTCGACACGCCGCCCCTTCAATGTCGGGGCGAGGGCAAAGATAGTCTGACCGAAGTTTACTCGAAAGTTTGACGTCGACCAACATTGGAGGGGCGGCGCATGCAAATACCCCGCACTCATCGATACTCGGCCCCAGATCTTCCGACTAGCAGTTCCACCACGTCAGACATGTTTGAGGTTCATTTTGACGAGGGTTGTGGGACCCCCCAGCCCGACAACGGCTAAAGAATCCCTTTCCTGCAGGACTCCTTCTCTCCATTGTAGGTTGCCACATGGCCAGTGTCATCCTAGCAGCCCTCTGGGCGTAGGTGGTCTGGGAAGTTTCCTCTTTCAGCCCCCTTCTCCCCCTTCGGGGAAAGGTTGACACCTCCCCCCTACCCCCTACCCTTGACCTGGACGGGGCGCCACGCGAGGTGTCAGAGAGTACTTTGTGTCACCCAAGATGGCTTCCAGAGGGCCTCAGAGAGTCTAAGTTGGCCTCCAAGATGGCTCACGATAGCCGAAGATGCCTCAAGTCGGCTCCCAAGATGCTCCAAGAGGCCCCAAGAACGCTCCAAGACGGCTCCAACAGGCCTCCGAGACCTCCAAGGAGGCCTCCAAGAAGCCAAAATCCTCCCAAAACCAGATAAACAATATGCTTGTTGCTTTCCCGCCGTTTCGCTTCCGATGGCCATCCAAGGCCGCCTCAAGATGGCTCCAAGATGGCCCAAGAGGGCCCCAGGAGAGACCCAAGAGAGCCCCAAGGCGGCTCCAAGAGCGCCCTTGAGCGCTCTAAGAGCGCCCCAAGAGAGGGGGGGGGGGGTGAATTAGGGACCCCCTCTTCTTTGATCGATCTCCTGCAGGATGGCACCAAGAGCGCTCCTGAGGCTTCCAAGAGCGCCCCAAGAGGGCCCCAAGAGGCGCCCAGACGGCCCCAAGTGGTGTCCAGGAAGCCTCCAAGAAGCTCCCAAGAGATCCCCAAGAGGCCCCAGGAGGATGCCCAAGGCACCCGAGACGCTCAAAGAGCCCTGGGCTCGCCAAGATGCCCCTTCTCCTCCCCCTTATCCTCCTCCTACTTCTCCTCCTCTTCCTCCTCCTCCTCATCCTAACTTTTCTCCTCCTCCTCCTCCTCCTCCTCCTCCTTCTTGTCCACTATCTCTTCCTCCGTCCTCCTCTTCGCCCTCCTCCTCCTTCTCCTCCTCACTCTCTCTTCCACCATCCTTCCTCTCTTGGGGTATCGGACGGCTTCCCCCGCCCTTTGTTCTTCTGCATGTGCCCCCACTTCCCTGATCACCTCAACTCCCCTGGGCATCGTTTCTGGATGGGCTGGTGGGGATGCGCGAAGCGTCAACAATTACCGTAACTACATTGTCCTCGTTGTCGTCGTCGACGCCGCCGTCGTCGTCATCGTCGCCGTCGTAGTTGGGGGAAAAATGCCGATGCTGTTGTTCCACGGACGTGTCCTGAAGTGCGCTGCAACCAAAATCCCGATGCGAATCCAGCTGTGGCGAGGAGGCCACCCAGGAGGGCCCAAAAAGCAAAAGCGAGGCAAAGGTATCGGTGCTGGGACCCTCAACATCCGACGATGAGATGCTTTCACCACGCGGCCCCAGAAATCCGGGCCCTGTTCCCTGGAGGCAGTGTTTCGTCCCAGATCCACGTTTGCTGGTCCCAGGGCCCGACGCCCCCCTCGAAATGCAAACTCGAGGAAAAACGCAGCGATGAAAACATCCATCGACCCCGCTTGCCAGAGGTCAAAATACGTGTGAGACATCTTTCTGCCCCCATCCCCCTGGACCCCTCCCTCCAGGTCCCAAAACTTAGTTTGAAGGGCGGGAGATCCCCCCCGAGCACGTCAACGCACTTCGGTGCCATCGGAAGCCTCCCAATATACCGTACATGTCATCCACTATGTCCGCCTCCTAAGATTGCTTACGAAGAGCTCCAGCACGCCAGAGAGGTTTAAAGGACACCCAAGACTCCTACGGCCTCCAGCCCAGGAGGCCCTGAAGAAAGACGCCTCAGGAGGACCCCCAGGAGGCCTGGATAGGCAACATGACAGGAACGTCATTTGTCGTTCGATCATGTTTGCGTTCTCGCCTGTTCGGGCTTCTCCTGCGCCGATGACGGCAACACCAATCCACTCTCCTGCCGGGACCTCACCCCCTGCTCCAGTCCATGGCGTACCTTGTCCTGTGCAAGTTCTTCGGCACCGCCTGCACTCTGAGCCCTCCGGCCGCCTGAGGCCCTGCCCGCCCGCGCCCTGTCTCCCCAATTAGGGCTACTCGCGTCCCGTTTAGCTCTTGACCGGAAGGGGCCCGCTCCCGACCCACAGGCCAAAAACCTGTTCGGGCTTCTCCAAGACGGTCCGAGAGGCCTCGTGCACTGGCCAAGGAGGCCCCCGCCGAGGGCCCAGGACGGCCCTATAGAGAGCCCCACGACTGCCCGAGCAGGGGGCCCCAGGGGGACGGGGAACCAAGGCCTGCAGGAGAGCCCCGAGAGGCCCAGGAGAGGGCCAAACAGAGGGAGCTCGCAGGGTGCCCCAGGACTCCTCCCTCCTCCTTCCTCCCTCCTCCCTTCTCCCTCCTCCTCCTCCTCCTCCTCCTCCTCCTCCTCCTCCTCCTCCTCCACAGGTTGGCCCCCAAGAGCCCAAGAGGCTCCCAGAGTGCACCAAGAAGCTCCGAAGAGGTTCCCAAGAGGCCGCCCGAAGCCGCCGGGAGGCCCCCGAGAAGCAGCGCGCGCCAGGCGCGGAGGGAGAGGAGGACGAATCGGCAACAACTGCACGCAAGCAGCACGACAAGAAACGTCCAGCAGCACACACGAGACCAGATGCCACACACACACACACACACAGACAGACAGACAGACACACACACACACACACACATCCTGCCAGGGCTGAACCTGAACGGTGTTTTTCGTTTTCGTTTTGTGCAAATTTTCCCTCGTTTTGTCTTCAATCCACCTCTACCGCAAAACGAAGTCGAAACGAACACGGCCCACGAAATCGCCCAAACACCGTTTGGGTCCAGCCCTGCATCCTGCTCTCCTGGGATCCTCAGGATTGCGTACGCCCCTAGACCAACCAACCAGGTGTTTCGCGAACCGCAGCCACCGTGCTACGATTAAGTCGGGCCTGTCCCCCTGCAGGGGGACTTTCGACGAAAAATGAGAAATACCCCAAAAATATGCCAAAAGGACTCAAAAATACTCCAAAAATAGTCCCCATACTATTTTTGGGCTATTTTCTGATTATTTTGGGGGTACTTTTTATTTTTCGTCGGAAATCCACTTGTAGGGGGACACGCCGGACTTAATGCTACGACGAGGAGCGCCGACGAGGCAACGGAGGAGCTGCTCTGGTCACGGCGAGCCCTGTGGTCACGAGCAGACTCCCCGACCCGAAGCCAAGGCAACGGCCCGAGCACCCGAGCCCCGTCCCGATCCCGACGCGGTCCTCACCTCCTCCTCCTCCTCCTCCTCCTCCTCCTCCTCCTCCTCCTCCTCCCCCTCCTCCTCCTATTCGTCTTCCTCCTCCTCCCCCTCCCCCTCCTCCTCCTCCTCCTCGTCCTCGTCCTCGTCCCAACGTCCCGAGCCCCGTCCCGATCCCGACGCGGTCCGCACCTCAACGCCTCGACCCTGCGCTTCTCTCTCTCGGCGGTGCGCCGTGGGAGGGGGGGGGCTTTCCCAGAAGACCCAGGATCAAGTCGGGCGTGTCCCCCTACAGGGGGATGTTCGACGAAAAACAATTTTTTAAAAATGATAATCAAACAATAATGCAAACATAGTCTGGGGACTATTTTTGATTTTTGTTTAGCTTTTTTGGTGCATGTTTTAGGTTTCTTTTCTTTTCGTCGAACATCCCCCTGTAGAGGGACACGCCCGACATAAACCCAGGAGGCCTCTGGCCTCCCGAAAAGCTTTTGAGGCTTCCTCCGAGGGCGCCGGCGGTCGTCCAGGAGTTGGCCGCTCGAAATGGGCACGGAAAGAATGGGCACAATGCCCAACAGCAACTGTTGTCCCGAATCGACAGCGGCCGCTGTTGGGCGGGCGGCCTTCTGTCTCAAATGGACACAGGCCGCGGCGGCGTGGACAGCGAGTCCTGTGCAGAATGAACAGGATCCGCTGTTGGGCATTGTACCCATTCTTTCCGTGCCCGTCTCGTTCGTGCAGGCAGAAGGCAGGAGGGCCTCCCCACCTCGGCGCGCCGGCGGCTCTCCTGCGAAGCCCCCCCTCGTCTCGGGTCGGGCGAAAGGGGGGGATAGCAAAGGGGGGCTTGGAGAATCAGCTCACGCAGCTGATTTTCCCGGCGCCCCCCGGCGCCGGAGGCGACCATGTATCGAGGAATGGGCCCCGCGGTGGGGCCGAAACCAGCTGCACGCAGCAGATTTCGTAACCCCCCCCTTTCCCTATCCTTAGGTCGGGCCTGTCCCCCATACAGGGGGATTTTGGGCGAAAAATAAAACATATCCCAAAAGACCCCCCAAATGCTCAAACATAGGAAAAGAAAAACGTCCCCTGAGTATTGTTGCTGCTATTGCTATTTTTGAGTATCCCCCCTGTAGAGGGACAGGCCCGACTTCACCCTATCCCCCCCTGTCGTCTGGCCCGGCCAGCTCCCCCCCCTTCTCAATCCCCCCTTTTTGTTCGGCCCGATCGTCGCGTGCGCCGCTGGCCGGCCTCGTGGCCGACCAGGCGCGCGGAGTAGCGGCTCCCGGCGGGCACCGCGGGCGCGGCGGGCGCCGGGGCGGCCGGGGGGGCGCGGTTGCCTCGGCACGGCGCCCGCGCCGGCGCGGCAGGCGCCGCCGCCGTGGGGGGTTAGCAGGGCTGGCAGGGGGGGATGCGAGGAGGGAGGAGGGGGCGGAGGGGGCGGAGAGGGGGAGGAGGTGGGGGAGCGGAGGGAGGGGAGGGGGGGGGAAGGGGGTGGTTGGGGGCGGGAGAGGAGGGAGCAGGGGGGGGAGCGGGAAGAAGGGGGAGGGAGGGGGAAGAGCGCCAGGGGAGAAGGGGAAGATGGGGAGGAAGAAGAAGAAGAAGAAGAAGAAGAAGAAGAAGAAGAAAAAGAAGGGGGCGGGGAAGGGGGCGGGGAAGGGGTGCGGGAGGGTTAGAAGGGGGAAGGGCCAAGGGGGCGGGTGGCGGGAGAGCAAGGGGGGGGGCTGCGGGCAAGGGTGTGGCTCAGCAGGCCCCAGGGCGCAGGGGAGCGGAAGACCGAAGAGGAGAAGGCACCACCATGGCAAGCAGGTGCGCCGAGAGCGGGACTAGGACAGGCCAGACACTTGGGGCGAGACGAGCGAGCGCAGCACAAAGCCAAGACGAAAGGAGGGAAGGACACGAAGCAAAAGCCAGGCGAATTACCGAAAACGAAGCCACAAGCAAGCGTCATCAGAACTCATGGGAGGGCGAGGCTCGCCCCTCCACTCCCCCCAGAGTGCTCCTTACCCTGCCCGAGGGCCCGAAGATACGTAGTATTATTGCTGGGAACTAGACCCGAGCACTCACCCCAGAGCCGCGACCGCTGGGCCGACGCCACATGCACGCGCATTAGGTCCGCGCAGCGTCAAAAAGGGAGGAGGAGGAGAAGAGCCACGAGGACGAGAGCATGAGGAGGGGAAGGAGGAGGATGGGGAGGAGGAGGAGGAGGAGGAGGAGGAGGAGGAGGAGGAGGAGGAGGAGGAGGAGGAGGAGGAGGAGGAGGGGAGCCCCCCCCCGCGAGAAACAATACATATTTTGCACACGTAGGTTTTTTGTATACACACATGTGTATACACATATATATATATATAAAGAGATATATACATAGATATATACATATATCTATATTTATAGACATGCTAGTCACGACCCCAAACTGCGAGTTTCTACGTTGTGCTGTATGTAACGTCCAACATGTGTGATGCAATCCACGTTTTGCAGTCGACGTGATGCACTCCATGTCGTGCAATCTGCGTGGTGCACTACATTCTCGTGCTATCTATGTGGCTACGTTAACTACTGCTCACTCGTGAATTGTCAACTCCACTGGTTGCGCAATCGTCCCACTCACCCACCCGCAACTTGGTTTGCAAAAGCAATGTGGCAGCGAGTGCGATGACTGCTTGGCGCTGGATGGCGCATCGCTGCGGCCGCGCTAGCGCGCGTGGGCTCGCGCGCAGAGCGGCCAGCTAGTCTGGCGCGGCCGACGCGGCCGCGGTGGCACTGACAGCTGGGGACTTCCCATACCGTCTCGCAAGCCGCGCTGACGCGCGGGCACTTCAGTGCGATTCGGTGGCTCGGGCGGGCGCGGTATCATCGCGACGTTGACAACGACAGAAAAATCATGATAGTAGCGATGCTAGTGACGACGATGACGATGAAGACGGCAAGGCCAATGACGGCGAAGATGCTGATCACGCCGATGACGGCGTGGTGTCCACAGGTCGGTGATGTTGTTTTTGGAAGGATTTCGACATGCTCGCGCGGCCGACGGGAACGAGTGGCCCGCATGGTACTGTTGCCCAGGAATCGCACCCCCCCTGCAAGTGCGCCGGGGCGTTCTACTGGTGTCGACATGCGCGCGCGAGAGGCCCGCTTGGTCGCATTTGATGAACATGTTGCGCAACCTGTGGTTTTCGCAAGAATTCGCAAGAGCGCGCGCGCATACATTTTCCCAACCATCCTGTGGTGCCCCGCGTCTCCTCTCCTCTTTCGCCCTCCTCCCACCCTTCTCCCGTCCCGGCCTCTACCCTCTGCATGCGCATGTCGCCACACCCACCACACGCTTCCTGGCCCCACGGGGATCTTCACCAAAGGCCCAATTGGCAGCCCGCAGGGCGGCACCGCACTCGTGCCGGCACACCCCTCACGCGCCTCGTGACCTCTTCAGGGCGCTCCACCGGAGGCCCAAATGGCAGCGCCCGGCACGGCGGCACCGCACCCATTCTGGCACGCCTCTCACGCCTTCTGTGGGCCCTTAAGGAGCTCCACATACGGCCCGAATCGCCGCGCCCGCCTGGCGGCATCTGGCCGATTTCGGCACACCCCTCACACGCTGCGTGGCCCCGTGTGGAGGTCCACCGAAGGCCCACATGGCAGCGCCCGCCTGGCGGCACCGCACCCGTGGCGGCACACCCCGCGCACACGCGTCGTGGCCCCGTGGGGAGCTCCACCGAAGGCCCACATGGCAGCGACCGCATGGCGGCACCGCACCCGTGGCGGCACACCCCGCACACGCGTCGTGGCCCCGTGGGGAGCTCCACCGAAGGCCCACATGGCAGCGACCGCACGGCGCCACCGCACCCATGTCGGCGCGCCCCTCGAACGTTCCGTAGCCCCACAGGGTGCTCCACCGAATACGGTCCTCAGAACTGCACCTGGCCAGGCCCGTCGCCAAGATAATCGTGAAAAGTCATGCTGCAAAACAGCATTTGTCTATATATATATATATATATATACAGTATGTCTTTGGGGAACTTGATATTAAAATGAGATCCGTACGACCCTAAGGTTTGGGAAGGATTTCGGCATGCGCGCGCGACGCCGCGCGAGTGGACTGTGTGCCATCTGTTGCAAGGGGTGTTTGAACACTTACTTATGAGTCGTGCTAAACGAGTGCGCGCGCGTAATATTATTTGACAGTGGTGAGGGGGGGAGGCGGTCACAACCTGGCTGGAATGGAATGAACTCATGTTTAGAATGACCGATGGGCCAGAATCAAATCTAAATTGAACGATGGGCCGGAATCAAATATGTATTGCACCATCCCAGGGGGAAAGGAAGAAGCCAGGGGGGGGGGTAAATAAAAACCTCCTTCCCAACCAGACTGTGTTGAATTGGGCCCTCGTTTTGAAACGACAGTGCCCCGTGCCTCCTCCTGCTGGCCTCCTCCACCCTCCTCCGATCCCTACCTCTGCCCTACGCATGCGCACTTTGGCACACCACTCGCACGTTTCGTGGCCCCACTCGTGGCCACATGCGGAGGTCCACCGAAGGCCCACATGGCATCGCCCACATGGCGGCACCGCACTCGTTGCGGCACACCCCAGTGGCAGGGCCCGCATGGCAGCACCGCACCCATTTCGGCACACCACTCGCACGTTTTCTGGCCCCAAAGGGAGCTCCACCGACGGCCCACACGACAGCGCCGCATGGCGGCACCTAACCCATGCCAACACACCCCTCACACGTCTTCTGGCCCTCGTAGGGAGCTCCACCGAAGGCCCAACTGGCAGCGCCCGGCATGGCGGCACCGCACCCGTTGCGGCACGCCCCATTTCACGCTTCATGGCTCCACACGGAACTCCACCAAAGGCCCCCGTGGGAGAGCCCGCATGGCGGCGCAGCACCCATGTCGGCACACACACACACACCTCCCACGCTTCGTGGCCCCGTAGGGAGCTCCACCGAAGGCCCAACTTGCAGCGACCGCATGTCGGCACCGCAGCCAGTCTGCCACACCTCTCACACGTGGCCCCACAAGGAGGTCCACCGAAGGCCCCAGTGGCAGCGCCCGCGTGGCGCCGACCCATCACGCGTGTCGTGGCCCCGTACATAGCTCCACCGAAAGCCTCCGTGAGAGCGCCCGCATGGCGCCGCCGTGACCATTGCGGCACATCCCTCACACGTTTCGTGGCCCTCTAGGAAGCTTGGCGCCGCCGCACCCATGTCGGCACACGCCTCATACGCTTCGTGGTCTCATAGGGAGCCCCACCGAAGGGCCCAGTGACCGCGCTCGCAGGCAGCTCCATTGGGGGCTTCATCAAAGGCCCCAATGGCTGTGTCCGCATGGCGCCGCCGCACCCGTTTCGGCACGCCCCTCCTGCGCTTTGTAGCTCCATAGGGGGCTCCGCCGAAGGCCCCAGTGGCAGGGTCCGCCCTGAGCCGCCGCGCCGACTTCGGGGCGCCCTTTGAGCGTTTCGTGGCCCGATGGGGTGCTCCACCGACGGCCCAAATCGCAGCGCCCGCATGCATCGCTGCGTCCATTTTTGCACACACACACACACCTCAAACATTTCGCGGCCCCATAGGGAGCTCCACAGAAGGCCCAACTGGAGGCGCCCGCATGGCACCCCCGCGCCCGTTTCGGCACACCTTCTCACATGTTTCGTGGCCCCATAGGGAGCTCCACCAAAGGGCCCAGGGGCAACGCCCGCATGGCACTGCCGCACCCATGTCGGCACACCCCTCACACGTGTAGTGGTCCCCTCGGGGGCTCCACCGAAGGCCCAAGTCGCAAAAACAGCATGGCGGCACCGCACGCATTCTGGCACACCCCTCAAACCTTTCGCAGCCCCATCGGGGGCTCCTCTGAAGGCACCAGTGGCAGCGCCCGCATGGCACCGCCGCCCCAATTTCGTCGCACCCATCACACGCTTCGTGGCCCCATAGGGCGTTTCACAGAAGGCCCTATGGCGCCGCCGCGCCCATGTCGGCACACCCCCCACACGCTTCGCGGCCCAATAGAGAGCTCCACCGAAGACGATACCCATAATCGCGGTGCTCACCAACTTTATATGATTGTGCCCCTCGCCAGTAATGTTCTGAAGGAGAACGCATGTGGTGCAAACTATGGTGTACAACCAATGCTGTGCAATATACATATATATATACAGATATTGTTCTGTGAAACGTACATGGTGCGATATCTAGGTGGTACCATCTATGATGCGCAACTGACGGGGTAGTGTAATCTATGTGGTGCGCAAAATATATAAATATATATATATATATATATATATATATGTGGTACCATCTGCGTGGAGCAATCTCTGTGGTGCGATATATGTGGTGCATCCTG